TATCCTTTTCGTTCGGGATCTCCTTTTCCTTTCAGGTTTTCAATGAAAGAATAGAAATATCATATCTACGGCTTATATTCAATACCCTCAGTTTTCGATTTTCACAAAACTGAGATTCCGATATAAAAATCCACCTAAGGCCTAACTGTCATCGATTATGTTAATATTGACCTTGTATATCGCTTGTTAGAAAAATGTACTATTGAATTGCAAAAGTAAAATTAATGGCAGTTAAGTTGCAGATGCAGTCTAATATCATAAAATCATTTTTGTAAAAATTGCAGATAGCGGATATTGAATATGAACCTTCGATATATTGAAAACTATAAATTTCCAAAGTTCTAGTCAATTCTTACTTTTTCGATTTGGCTTCTTTAATTTGGAAATAAATTGTTTATCTTTCCTTTTGTTTGAGGATGGTTCATCCGCCTCTAAAACATATCAAAAATAAAAACATGTTGCTTTTATTTTGCATTCTGATTGCTTGTTTATTACCTGTCTCTATTTCGCTCAAAGAACAAACATTATCACTAAAGTGTTCGTCTGCTTTCTTTTCATTCAAAGCTGCAGCGTTTGCCCGGCGTTGAAGCTCTCGTTTCATAGCTTCGGATTTCTTGGAAGCATTTTCATTGTCAGTGAAAGCAAATGGTTTCTTCCTTAATTCTTGTAGTCGCTCAAGTGCTTCATTGTACGATTCTGTATAGACACCAAACCCCCACCACCAAAAATGCCACTTTGCGACATTTCATAAAGCGCAATAGAATGATATATTATTTTAACTCACTTGCATGACCGACAATTTCGATTTCATATGATTCCCAATTTGCGGGTGCTTCTGATTTTTCAATCAGTTTTTTAAATAAATATTTGTTCTTTATGGCTCCGTATGGTGGAGGTGGAAAACGTGTTTCGCAGACACCCAGTTTTGTATTGAAGTAGACCCAATCTTTGTAAACTATGTCGATGACATGTGGCAGGACCACGTCGACAGACTCTTCAAGAAATTTTACTAGTTTGTAGTCGTACAAGTCGTAGTCAATATCCATTGCGATTTTGTCACCAGATATGTATTCTACAAACATTTTTTAATTGTTAACGCCATCGCATAGTTACACTATATAAATTACACAGCACATAAAAACGTAACGATCGATACTAACCTCAGTATTTTTGTCGCTGATGTTTAAAAATGATGAACCACAATTAAATTAATAGTTAATCCATATAATCCGCACTATTGATGCCTTGCACAAATTATGGAAGCAAAACTTTTCGCCGCAACCAATGTACCGTTTTTCGAATAAGATTAGGAATGGTAGCGACTAATCATTTCATTACTATAATCGATTAATTTTTGCAATTTAATCGAATCAAACAACTATTTTACTCTATTTTTTAATAGTACATAACTGACTATTTGTAAAACAATCAAAACTTAATAAAGGATAATTAATTTATTCTCTTTACATACATATCTATAACATAAATAATATGAATTTGTGAGTACATATAACATAAGGCATAGGTATAGAATACCAACCGTTTCGCTATGCAAAAACAAAAAATGTCGCTCGATGTAACGTTTTACCATGATTTCACCCATATCAGAATTATTTGGGGCAAGTAAAATATAAGAGGTTCAAGTTCAGCTTTTCTATTTTTTATATGAGATATTAAGATAACAATAAGAAAAATCACGTCGACAAAAGTATCCGTAAAAAACAACAGGCAAAGAAAAAAGCTGAATTCATATGAGGAGGTGTTACCGGAGCTGCTGATTTCAAGGCGAATTCGTACTGTTTGTCAAAATGATGTGTTTGTTGTACTTTTGTGCATTTAGTTTGCTAGTTTGCTAGTGTAGTTTTTGTGTTTGGTCTTCCGCTACCACCTTGTATAAATTCGCCTTGCAAATAAAGAGCAAAAGCAGCTGTTAGCCAAAACCCAAACCTTGGTTCAAATATCTAATACATCTTAACCATG